TTGTTATTGTGGTTAAGTAAAATATTATTGAAAATAGGCTGTACAGCAATGTCATTTAATGTACAAGGTTCTGCTCTAGAGTTGTTATTAACATTATTCCAAGCTAATAAAAGATGCTTATAAAAAGATGGTAAAATATTTAAAAGTTTGTAATTAAAATGTATTTTAAAAATATCTTTGTCTAGGCCATATGACCCATATAGATTTAGAAAGTAGGTCATTGTATATTTCCAAAAAGTATTATTTACAGGATTAAAATATTGCTTTAGCCATTTAAGTAAAAGTGATTGACCTTTTAATTTAATGTCCACCAGCCCCATGCCTCCATTAGACTTTTCTGATGTCATCACATCATATTTGATTAGGGGTGGTTTCTTATTCCATAGGAAATTAGTTATAATGGTCTTTATTTGTTGTTGTATATGATCAGGCATGGGGATGATGGACATTGTGTAGTAAAACTTAGACAATAAAAGTGTATTTATAACTGTGACTTTCCCAAGGAGAGTCAATTGCCTTTTTCTCCAAAAGTTTAACAAATTTTGCACTTTACCAATTTTGGATTCCCAATTATTCTTCACACATTCCTTAATGTTATTGCCAAAATAAACACCCAAAATCAAAATTATGTCAAATACAATAGTTAGTGGGAGATTAATGTCAATATTTTTACTTACAGCAGAGCCAAATGGTATAATCTTGGATTTTTGAATGTTTATTTTGGCACCTGAAGCCTTACAATATTTTTCTAAACAAGAAAAAACTACTTGAACAGAATTAAGGTTGGCCAGTGTCAGGGTTGTATCATCCGCATGCTGATAAATTAATGACCGAGCCTCAGAATTTTTTATTAGAATGCCTTGAGCAGGGGAATGCTTAATTAGTTGATTTAGAGGCTCAGCGCATATAACATATAGCAATGCGGATAATGGGCAACCCTGTCGCACTGACCGCTTTATGGGGAAATAGGGTGACAGATGACCGTTAACTTTTACTGTACTTTTAACATCAGTGTATAGAATATTTATCCAGTTCCTAAATATTGGACCAAAGCCAAAGCATTTTAGAATATGCTGCAGGTATTCGAACGAGACGCGGTCGAATGCTTTTTCCGCGTCTATTTGGCAGAGCCACATGTCTTCGTTTTCAGTGTTAACATAATCAATTACATCTCGAATACCTGCAACATTTTCTAAAATGCTTCTTCCTGGGACAGAGCAGGACTGCTCAGGGGAGATAATTGACTCTAATACATTTTTCAGTCTTAAGGCTAAAATTTTAGACAATATTTTGGTGTCTGTATTAAGAAGAGATATGGGTCTAAAATTTTTTAAAAGTGTCTTGTCTCCTTTGTCTTTATAAATTAAAACAATAACCCCCCTCCTCATTGACTTAGATAAAATGTTATTATTAAAAATATGGTTTAAAACATCTAAAAATAAAGGCATTAAAATATCTTTAAAACACAAATAAAACTCTGTAGTTAAACCATCCAATCCAGGACTTTTCCCCCTGCACATGGATTGTAAAGCATTAAAAACCTCTTCTAAAATAATGGGAGAGTCTAAAATATCTTTATCTACAGTATCTATATTACAATTTAAAATATCACCAACTTCATATATACAATTAAAATCATCAGGACCTTCTTTTGCATATAAATTAGAATAAAAATCAGAACATGCATATAAAATATCTTTAGTTTGATTTAAAATATGACCAGTATTATCTTGTAATTCTTTAATACAGTTTTTATTTTGTCTTTGCTTTTCTAGTGATAGAAAAAATGAGGTACACCTGTCACCCTGGGTAGCATTTTGGAACTTGCTTCTTAGAATGGCCCCTTTACATATAACCTCGTCCATTTCCTGCAGTTTTAGTTCCAGTTCCTTAATAAGTGTAAGATCAGGGGCCATTAGTTTAGATAGTCTCTCATATTCCCTAGAGATCCTATTTTGGAGGGACCAATATTTCTCTCTCTCTTCCTTCTTTTTTTTCTTAGAATATCTCTGTGCATAGCTTTTCAATTTATACTTAAGATTATCCCACCAAACTAGGATCTCTGTTGAATATAAGGGACTATCTTTTTCCTTATTAATTAAATCTCTTATAGTATTTGTAAAATATTCATCTTTTAAAAGTAAGTTATTAAAAATATATATACCCGGACCTCTTTCTACTTCGTTAAAATCAATTAAAATACACAGGATTATGGTCAGAAAATGACGTATAAGTAATAAAAACCTTAAAAACATGGTGGATAAAATTAAAAGGTGTAAAAATATAATCTAAACGACTAGCTTTTAAAACATTATTAAGATAATTGGTCCGGGTATATTGCCTTTTATCAGGGTTTCTACGTCTAAAAATATCACAGAGGTTATGCTGTAAAAGAAAATTATTAAAAATAGATATACTCTTTTGGCTAAAATGCATGTCTTTAGCTCTGTCTAAATAGGGGTCTAAAACGTTATTAAAATCTCCACATAAAATAGAAGTTGGAGTTAAAAAGGGTAAAATTGATTTAAAAAATTCGTCTCTTTCCAAATCTTTGTTTGGAGCATATATATTTAAAACATTAAAATTTACGTCATCTATTAAAAAATCAACTCTTAAAATTCTTCCTTCATTGTCTTTAAAATTTCCTAAAATGGAACCCTTTAAATTGTTTTTGCACAGAATTGCCACACCCCTCCGATTGTTATTAAAGTTACTTGTAAAAATAGGTCCGTCCCATAGTTTTTCCACACAATGTATAAAATCCTCACTCCAAAAAGTTTCTTGGAGAGCTATTATGTCCGAATTGCTATTCTTTAATTGACCGATCACTTTCTCAAGGTTATTAATGTCACGTAAACCATTAACATTCCAGGTTGTAATTTTAAGCATAGGGTTCGTTAAAAGGAATAAAAATAAATATAAATTAAAAGTTATAACGCCCATAAAGGGTAAAATAAAACGAAACACAAATAAACTACTTTTTGGGAGTGTTAATTTTGGGTAGGGGGGTCGATTCTACTGGTATATCTTTCCTGGAATTAAACACATTTAGTTTATTTGGGGATGATTTTCCTGTTGGAATTACCGTGCGTTTTATTTTGCCATCTTTGCCCCTAGTTACAGTCAGTTTAACGTTTAAGTTATCTTTTGTGTTTTTGGCGTCGCGAACTTGTGTATCACTGTCGGGAGCCTCTTGTGGTATTTCTATGTGATCTGCAATAGAGGGTCTGTCTTCTGGATTTTCAATAACAGAGAAATCGTTTAAAAAAGAGTGGGGGTCGTGACGGGCTGTTTCTGTGGGGGATGAATCTTCTTCGTTAATGTCTTTACGTTGTTTTTTGTCATCGTGTGTAATGTCTGTGGATAAACTTAAGTCACGCTTGGCATGTGTCTTGTTCTTGCTAGGCTTATCAGTCTTAGGATCCTCGAAATAATCAATTTCTTCATTAGTGTCATAGTATTGTTCGCATTTGCACTGATTGATATATTTGTCGCACTTTTCACATTTTTCGATGTTGCAGTTAAAAGCCATATGGCCATAGGTCTTACATTTTCGGCACTGAATTTTCGGGCATTCCTTTTTCTCGTGGTCAGGGGAGAGGCACTTAAAACATACTTTTGTTTGATTGTTATGAAGTACTTTAAAATTTTGGGGTCCATCTGGAGTATCGAAAGGCAAGACATATGGGAGCGAATGGAAGTTTGGAGGGAATTTACACTTAACATGGCGTGTGCCGTCGGCTACATCGGGTCTTTGTTTATAGTAATGCCTAACCACCTTTTCTACTATTTCGATTTCATAATGTTCAAGTTTATTAGTAATCACTTCGTCGTCAACATGGCTTGGGAGATTGAAAAATGATACTACTGTATACTGCGAAAAACATAGCTCAACTGAATAATGTTCATCATTAATGGCTAGACCCTCATCACACAATTTCATGGCGTTTTCAACATTATTTACTGTAATTTCAATGCTACTAATGAGAGGGCGTGGGACACATGCAAAGCATAAGCCTTCACCAATACATCTTTCAACTGCTTCAATAAAATCGATCATGAATACCTTTTTAACATCAACATTTTTTACCTTAACAGTGTTCTCTTTTGCGAATCGTCGTCCCGACGTCGCCATTTTTTATAGATCCAATAAACGCCGCCGCTATCCTTTGCGGGGTGGAGAATATCACAGAAAAGTAGATTATCACAAAAATATCACAGTTATATATCACAGTTTAAATATCACAGTAGTTATTGGGGCCAAAAGGCCCCTAAAAGTCGGTTTATATACAAATCTACACTATATTATAAAGTTGCTATGTACACTATATCTATTTACAAGTCCTCACTGAATACTATTCAGGGTGTATCGCTTGGTTGAATCTCAGAGCTCAAGAAAACACGTCCTTTCGCTTCGAAAACTTAAACCAGTCTGTCAAAATGGAAAAAAAAACTTTCAGGGCTTGTCCGGGATTCGAACCCGGGACCTCTCGCACCCAAAGCGAGAATCATACCCCTAGACCAACAAGCCACCGTTAAGTAAACGAGGAAGCCATTCGGTTTTTAACATTTCGGATTAGAATCGATCGCAAAAGCCACTGCGCTTTCCACTTGACATGCTTGATTGGATGCGAAAACCAGCCTTTTCCTTCAAGTTGACGTCAGCCGACAGTTGATTGAGAAGAGAAACTGATCAAACAAGCTTTAATGTTCCTTTCGTCACAACGATATCTCGGTTGAAAGCCAATCTCCAAGCCAGTCAGTTTGATCGCCGCCGTCGCCTATACCACACATGTACATCTGCCAACACAGACTTTTCGCGGGCGATTCTCAGCCGTGCACGTTCCCGCCAACGCACGAAAAAATGGAAGCCATTTCGATGTTGGGTCGTGGATGAAAATAGGGCTTGTCCGGGAATCGAACCCGGGACCTCTCGCACCCGAAGCGAGAATCATACCGCTAGACCAACAAGCCAGCACTGTGTCGGCAGAAAATTAGCTACATCGTTCTGGCCGGTGTACAGCATTAAAAACGAGTTAACTCCTGTCGGCAGGAAACAAGGAGAAAGAAACGAATGGAAATAACGCTGCCAGATACACACGGACGTGAAAGAAAAGTTGGGCTTGTCCGGGAATTGAACCCGGGACCTCTCGCACCCTAAGCGAGAATCATACCTCTAGACCAACAAGCCGGACGAGAGTTCAAAACATTTCCCGAAACAAAAGATAACGGTGATACTGAGAAAAAGGAAATGAGTCAAAATGGAAAAAAAAACTTTCAGGGCTTGTCCGGGATTCGAACCCGGGACCTCTCGCACCCAAAGCGAGAATCATACCCCTAGACAACAAGCCGCCGTTAAGAAAACGAGGAAGCCATTCGGTTTTTAACATTTCGGATTAGAATCGATCGCAAAAGCCACTGCGCTTTCCACTTGACATGCTTGATTGGATGCGAAAACCAGCCTTTTCCTTCAAGTTGACGTCAGCCGACAGTTGATTGAGAAGAGAAACTGATCAAACAAGCTTTAATGTTCCTTTCGTCACAACGATATCTCGGTTGAAAGCCAATTTCCATGCCAGTCAGTTTGATCGCCGCCGTCGCCTATACCACACATGTACATCTGCCAACACAGACTTTTCGCGGGCGATTCTCAGCCGTGCACGTTCCCGCCAACGCACGAAAAAATGGAAGCCATTTCGATGTTGGGTCGTGGATGAAAATAGGGCTTGTCCGGGAATCGAACCCGGGACCTCTCGCACCCGAAGCGAGAATCATACCGCTAGACCAACAAGCCAGCACTGTGTCGGCAGAAAATTAGCTACATCGTTCTGGCCGGTGTACAGCATTAAAAACGAGTTA